TCTTTGATACGGGTGATTGAATTTTCTTCGGAAGTACGTCTACGCCTCGACGCTGAGCAAGCCTTGCGGGTTGAAAACAACTGATCTCAGACTGGTAAAAAATTTCATTTCGGTTGATTTCAGTTGTCATATTAAAATTCAAATAGGGCGTACGTAGATCACATAATTAGTTTAAGTCTACTAAAGCTACCGGTTTCAAATATAAGTGACCGGCCTTTGTTTACAACACCTGTCTCTGGGGAAATACTCGTCCCACTCGTGAAGCGCATCATGAAAATGATCGTAGGTGAGGGAAATATATAATTAGAAATTATAATTGTCGTCTTTTTTAATGTTAAGTAATGTTAGCACATATTGTACACAGCCAAATAAGATTTTAAAAGGAGGATAAAACAAGCCTGAAACACGTGTTAGGCGAAAATTGCGGCTTATCTTGCGTCACACTTCCGGTAAAATGCAATACTTCCGGAAAGATGGACGTTTTGGCAGATGCCCCTAACAATCCGACGATATCAAAGGTTTCCATTTGCTGTATTTTAATCAATTCGACCAAACTGACATTTCCATGAAATTAATTAATTAATCTTGGTCGAATTGTTTGGCATATTACCGTATTAACTTATGCCTAGTTGCGATTGATATGCAACTAGGCATAAGTTAATAGGCATAAGCATATTAACTTATGCCTAGTTGCATATCAATCACAAATTTAAAACCTACTAGTACTTTATTTTGGCAGCTACATCTTTACAGGAAACCTGTTATTCTAAAAGCTTTGATACAAATTCACAGAGCTGTAGATAAAACAAGAGTTAGTAAGCTTTGAATTCATACAATTCAAACGATAGTATATTGGCAAATGATTTTAAGCTTAACATTCTTCTCAAACAGAAAGAAATGATTTTTGCTTAAAAAATACAGTATTCAAGCAGCCTGCTTAGACTGTATACTTACATCACATTGCCAGAGAATGTTTTCACAGATATACTTGCATCATCTGTAGTCCCAGTGTCAGCAAATGATAACCGAGACAAGTCCAGTTTAGCCCTGATGTGCAGAAAATTTAAGAAAAGTATCCCCAAAATTACCTGACACCAAGCTCAATGAAAGTGTTTAGCATAACATACCCTGGACTTTTGTCCTGAACATTTTAAATACATACTAGTATACACTGAGTCTGTGCTTGTTTTTTATTGTGGAATTGGTAGATACATGTATATTATACCTTATTCCTGCCAAGGACATGTGCAAACAATTCCCAACCAACACCAAACAGTTCCACTTCTTTTTAATTAATGCAAACAGATAAGCATAATTTAACAAACTAAAATTAGTGTTATTGCAACCAGCATCAAAAGCCTAATGGTGCACTGAACTGACTGGGGTTCATTGGTCTTAAGTTTCCTTAAACTCCCTTTACACTGGACTGGCATCCTTTCCTTTGTACTACCATGACACTGACATCGCTGTGGTCATTTAAAGGAGGCACAAGCATCATTTTGGTCACAAAATGTATGCTCAATTGGCCAGTTGTTGGAATGTAAAGAATATTTTTTTACTTTCAAACGGGGCTGTACTATGGGACACAGAAAGGGTGCCGTCCAGTGTAAAGGGGGCTTTAATCTAAAGTTTCAATGGTCTAAATTACTCTAAATTACTTGTTTATTGGTAAAAAAACTTTTAAGCTTGGTCAGATCTTCATTACTCTGTTCCTCTAAGACAAATGCTGTAATTAATCAAGAATTGTTTTAAACAACAATTCCCTATAACAGGATGATGGTTAAAATAATTTTTTGAACCAATGCACCTTTCAACCAGTGAAATTTTCAGGTCAATGAGCTCACCGAGTTTCAAACCTTTGAGGCATTTTTAGCAAACTTAAAATTTCCTTTCATTTTCAGACCGTTGAACCTCCATACTGAAAGAATGCAACCCTACATTAAGCACTAAATTCATGTGTTAGCACTCCTATTGACCATTTTGACATCAATTTACACTGTCCTAATGCATGAAAGCAAAGGCCTCAGAGCGCTGCATATACTGCAGATATCAAATTAGTCAATAAAAGTGCATGCTAACACAGGAATTTTGTGCTACCCTACATTCTGCTACAAATTAACTTCAAGGAGATAAAAACAATGTCAAGGCAGATGCATTAGATATTTTTAAAGCTACAGCAAAAGAAGCATACAAACAAAATTGTAAATACTTACGAAGGAGAATCTGGGGAAGTTTCTAGTAATCCACCACTTTCAGAAACCTGAAACTATAGAAAAAAATTACTAGTAATGATACATGTTCATAATTCTTGGCTCTCATGTTAAATAGTGCAAATTTTTAAAAGAAAAAGACCTCTACCTCATATGTTTATAACAGAATGCATGTTTATATTGGGGGGGGGGGGTCCCTACTGTAGATTCTCTAAGAAACAATTTGTTTAGAATGGTTTAATTAATGACATTTCGAATCATAATGTACAGTATTTAGGTTACTGATTAATTGCCCAACCAAAACAGGTAAATGCAACGACATGGCAAACATGAATGTACTGATCGATGATTAACTAAGTGTGTTTCAACATTTTCACTTCATTGAATGATTGATCCAATTTTCTTGCACATGTCTACCATTGCAAGGCCAGTAGTTTATCCTCGATTAAAGGGAAAATGAAAATGCTTACTGATTGTTCTTCGTGCTGTTCCTTTGTCTTTTCTTGCTTACCAGCACCTCTAAATGCTTTCGTTGCTGTTGTGGACCCATATGTTCTGATTTTTTCATCTTCATCAGATTCAAATGCATCATCTACAGAAAAGCCTCGGCCTGCCATCCTTCATGTTTACGGAAGGCAGCAGCTTGGTACCTATGTTGCTTACAACATATATAAAAGGAAACGAGATATTTAGAATATTTAAATGTTTTATGTAAATTTTTCACCTTATTCTACGTGCATCTTGCAGCTTTTATGAATTAACCCAATTCTGACATTTACAAATGCCAATTCTTTTTGTATGTGTTTTTTTATGTTGTGAGTGGCCCACCGACCTTTACCGACCTTCAATTTTCTTTACGCTCTAGACGTCTACTGTATCATTCCAGAATTTTTGACAAACATGCCTTGTCTTGTCATACATACAAATGTTGCAAAACCTGCGTCTACGGATGCATTTTTTGAGGAGGCAACGAAAACAGTGGCTTCTTTAACAGGAAAGCCAGCTGCAGTAAGTAATTGACATTGACTTTTAAGTTGTACATGTAGGACGTTTTCTTTTACCGGTAAGTTCTACTACAGTAGTTATACACATGTAGTAGAAAGCATGCCGGTTAGCACGACGGATGACTGCGATATTGATCCTGTCGCAGTCTCGAGCTTCTGCGAACGCCGGATTTTCTTGGCATTTTTAATAAAGAAATATGTGTCAAATTATAGTATAGGCTTAATTATTTTGGGAAGAATTTTCTTTAATTTTTCCAACGCCTTCTGCATAAATTACAGTAATTCAGCGGGATTACAGTAGATTTAGACCAAATAATGCTTGTATCATAAGCAATCCTGTTAAGTTCAATACGTAGTTAGGAGTGCTAGAGGTCAATTATTCTCTTAATTTTACACAAATTACAAGTGAATATGTTTATTGAACTGCCAGATTTTAAATTGTAAATATATTTTTATTTTCTTAATCCAGTATATCCAGGTGAGATTACAAACTGACCAGCAGATGAGCTTTGGTGGCAGCACGGAACCCACAGCTGAAGTAACCCTGGGCAATGTGGGCAACATCAAGACATCCACAGAAAAATGTTCAAGTGCAATTTGTGAACTGTTAAAGAAACAACTTGGAATACCTTCAAACAGGTAAATACAGTAGTAGAAAAATCCTCTGATACTCATTTAAAAAGTGGCATTATTATGCCAATTTGCTGCCTATGTATTTTTATGTCACCAATGTTCACATCTTTCATATTTTTTCCAGGGTGTATGTGTTCTTTACCGTGTTCCAAGGCAGCAATGTTGGATATGATGGCAGAACATTCTAAATCCCCTTCACATTGGAGCTACATGTAACAGGAGTAGACAATTTGTTGTGGAGTTTAGTTGTATGAACACTACTTGTCAATTATCAGTCTGCAGGCTATTTCCTGTTTTTTTTTTTTTTTTTTTTTTGTAAGATTTCTTATGCCACAGCTTGCTAGCCAAGCTTATACATGGCTTGTGAAAACTTTTGATTTAAATTATGAATTGATTCCTTCATGTTAAAATGAGAATCATTGAACAAAAGAGTGCACCAAGTGACTCAAATATCTGTAAAATTATTACGAACTTGTAGGTATTTTAAAGTGTCTGCAAAAGTCATATTAAAATATGACATTTATATTCTTATGTATACTTCATATTCCTTGGTAAAACATGGATTCTTTTCAAAAGAAAGCGTGCTTATCAGCCATTTCATGTTTTTAAATGAAGAAATAAAGAGCTTTAATTAGAGCAACAACACTGTCCTTTCCCTTCATGTATCATTTTACTAGGATATTGCATGATATGTGATTAAACTTGCATTAGTTTAACAAGTGCATGGTCTATAAAAATAATCACACTTGTTCAGCAGAGAATACTGTTTTATCTTCCCCTTTCCAGGTTTAAAATAAATTGCATCCATACTTTCTGGTAAAACAAAGTGCATGTAAAAGTGAATGGAGTATTTAACTCTCATCTGATCATTAGGGATTATATGAGAATTGCATGCGCATGCGTAGAGCTCAATTTGCATTCGCGTGTTTGAGCAAGTTGGAAGGCGCTCTTTTACGCTGTCATTTTTCCCCCAAGTTTTCACCAGTTCGGTGAATGTATGGTGAACTTTTTCGACTGATTTTGTGTGATTCAGTCTGGATTCCGCAATGACTGATAAAAGTTCACAAGCAGCAGATGTCAAAACATGGATTTTCCCAGGGTAAAGGACAATTTTCCCATACTTACCAATGGTTAATGAATCCATTCTGACATTCAAAGTTAGTCCGCATTTTTTTTTTCTAAAGAGTTTAGCCTTTGTAATATTCTCTTAAGAGATTATATCAGAGTGTAGCTATCAATGGAGGTCATATGATGTGATGGCAAGCACAAGAATAACTGCGTTAACTGCTGTTTTTGTGGTAAAATATAATTTATTATTTTTCTATTAGTTGCTTACTACGGAAGCCGACTGGTGCCATATGTTGAAAAAAAAAATTTATCTCGAAATTTCGAGATACTATTTTGAAATTTGAACAAAAAAAAAATTATCTCGAAATTTCGAGATACTATTTTGAAATTTGAACAAAAAAATTTTTTATCTCAAAATTTCGAGATAGCATTTTGAAATTTGAACAAAAAAATTTTTTATCTCGAAATTTCGAGATAGCATTTTGAAATTTGAACAAAAAAATTTTTTATCTCGAAATTTCGAGATAGCATTTTGAAATTTGAACAAAAAAAATTTTTATCTCGAAATTTTGAGATAGCATTTTGAAATTTGAACAAAAAAAAAAANCATCCGTTCAATACGTAGTTAGGAGTGCTAGAGGTCAATTATTCTCTTAATTTTACACAAATTACAAGTGAATATGTTTATTGAACTGCCAGATTTTAAATTGTAAATATATTTTTATTTTCTTAATCCAGTATATCCAGGTGAGATTACAAACTGACCAGCAGATGAGCTTTGGTGGCAGCACGGAACCCACAGCTGAAGTAACCCTGGGCAATGTGGGCAACATCAAGACATCCACAGAAAAATGTTCAAGTGCAATTTGTGAACTGTTAAAGAAACAATTTGGAATACCTTCAAACAGGTAAATACAGTAGTAGAAAAATCCTCTGATACTCATTTAAAAAGTGGCATTATTATGCCAATTTGCTGCCTATGTATTTTTATGTCACCAATGTTCACATCTTTCATTATTATTTCCAGGGTGTATGTGTTCTTTACCGTGTTCCAAGGCAGCAATGTTGGATATGATGGCAGAACATTCTAAATCCCCTTCACATTGGAGCTACGTGTAACAGGAGTAGACAATTTGTTGTGGAGTTTAGTTGTATGAACAATACTTGTCAATTATCAGTCTGCAGGCTATTTCTTTTTTTTTTTTTTTTTTAAGATTTCTTATGCCACAGCTTGCTAGCCAAGCATATACATGGCTTGTGAAAACTTTTGATTTAAATTATGAATTGATTCCTTCATGTTAAAATGAGAATCATTGAACAAAAGAGTGTACCAAGTGACTCAAATATCTGTAAAATTATTATGAACTTGTAGGTATTTTAAAGTGTCTGCAAAAGTCATATTAAAATATGACCTTTATATTCTTATGTATACTTCATATTCCTTGGTAAAACATGGATTCTTTTCAAAAGAAAGCGTGCTTATCAGCCATTTCATGTTTTTAAATGAAGAAATAAAGAGCTTTAATTAGAGCAACAACACTGTCCTTTCTCTTCATGTATCATTTTACTAGGATATTGCATGACATGTGATTAAACTTGCATTAGTTTAACAAGTGCATGGTCTATAAAAATAATCACACTTGTACAGCAGAGAATACCGTTTTATCTTCCCCTTTCCAGGTTTAAAATAAATTGCATCCATACTTTCTGGTAAAACAAAGTGCATGTAAAAGTGAATGGAGTATTTAACTCTCATCTGATCATTAGGGATTATATGAGAATTACACGCGCATGCGTAGAGCTCAATTTGCGTAAGCGTGTTTGAGCAAGTTGGAAGGCGCTCTTTTACGCTGTCATTTTTCCCCCAAGTTTTCACCAGTTCGGTGAATGTATGGTGAACTTTTTCGACTGATTTTGTGTGATTCAGTCTGGATTCCGTAATGACTGATAAAAGTTCACAAGCAGCAGATGTCAAAAAATGGATCTTCCCAGGGTAAAGGACAATTTTCCCATACTTACCAATGGTTAATGAATCCATTCTGACATTCAAAGTTAGTCTGCGTTTTTTTTTTTTTTCTAAAGAGTTTAGCCTTTGTAATATTCTCTTAAGAGATTATATCAGAGTGTAGCCATCAATGGAGGTCATATGATGTGATGGCAAGCACAAGAATAACTGCGTAAACTGCTGTTTTTGTGGTAAAATAGAATTTATTGTTTTTCTATTAGTTGTTTACAATGTATTTATTGTGAAATATGGATATCATACGAACAGTTGTTATCCCTTTAAACTTGCAAAATTATATTTAATGCATTTTCATTTACATGAAATACATAATTTTATGATGCCATGATCAAAGATAATAATAATAAGTTAGCAATAAATCTTAAAAATACTAATTTTTAAAGTTACAGAAAAAAAGAAAGCTTTTCATAATATTCTGCCATTTCGATATTGTTTTAAACTCTTCTTTAGACCAGGCCCCCTGTTTCACAAAAAATCTCTAATCCTTAGTTGACTAGAATGTGTCCATGAAAGTGCTGTAACATTGTTCCTGATCAGATGAGATGTGTCCATGTAATGTTGGTAACAAAAGTCTCAGCCAGGAAACTGGGGCCAGCATAAGACCCCCTCTTTGCATTCATCCACAGTTGAATTACAATTATCCAAAAAACTATTTCAAATTTATTCAACATTATGACTTTTATGAATTTTTTGTTTTAGGTTTTTTCTTCTTAATTTTTGTGCCTTTTGTTGTGTTTTCATGGAGTTCTGACGATGTACCATTAGTTTCTTCAACTGCATTAACACCATTTTTTCCCTGAATTTTCTGCTTCTTTTTAGGACTTTTGTCTCCTCCTGTATCATCTTGCATGTTTCTTTTTCTAAATAGTTAACATAAATGTAAATTTCATTATAATTTTTCTGATAATGCTTTTGATGAAATGTGCATTTAACAAACTTTTTTGAGCTTCATTGTTCAATTCTCTAATTTAACAAGTGAATGTTAGCAGGCTATGAAAAAAATTAGGGAAACCCACAGACTTTTACATTGAAAATTATGAGATCTGAATTCAGATAAGATTCAGTTAACATTTCAGAATTTTACTTTTACCTGTTCACTGATTTGGCTCCAAGGACTCTCTGGATTACTTTTCGTGTGTCTTTACTCAGCTGGCTTTTCAGACTCTCCAACTTTGTTAACAAACTGTCTGGCAGAGGCTGGAATAGTTTGTGAATCTCACTAACATTTACAGCAGGCATAGAAAAAACTAGGTAAAATAATGCAGCAAAGAACAATATCAACTGTGCACAATGTTGATAATAATGACTTAAATTAACTTTTGTTTTACTCTTGAAACAGTGACTTAACTAAAAACTGGAATAACATGTATCTTGAAATGTGATTTATGTCCTCTGATACATATTTGTTGAGGGACAAATAAATATTCATAAGGCTGAAGTTAAGATATCCATAGTAACCAAATAATTGATGCTTTAGAAGGTGTAGGGGTTGTCAGGGTTCAAGTATTTAAGTAAGCTGTACAGAATTTTTTAAAAACCAACCTGTGTGGGTTGACTATGTAAATACTTCACAAGCACCAAGGCAGCTTCTTGAATGTAACGAGGTTTCAATTCTGATACATTCACCAGAGACTGCAATAAATAAAAAAATCATATTGTATTTTATAAAATACATTTTTAATGCACATGTGTGTTATTTTACTTTTTTAAGCAATCAAACTAATTTCCACATTACCTCTGTCAACTTGGAGACCAACTGCTGTGAAAAAGATGACCATTTGTCCTCTCCTATAGACTGAACCTGAAATAGACCAGATAAACTGAAAATCCCATTCTTCAATAACTTTTCTGGCATAAATGAGTGATAAAAGATTTATTGTTACATATTAAACAATCCACAGGTTCCTAACAAGCATGAAATGTTTATTATTACAATTTTCATCAAATTAAAATTGTTTTTTATTAAAACATTAAGATTTTAAAATATACTCACCACATTTTTGTTAATCATTGCAGCAAGAGAAGACAACGCTCTTGTCTGAAAGTAGATTTAAAAATACATGTACTTCATAAAATATAAATAAATTTGAGTTTTCAAATCATATTTCTAGTAAACCCACTTATCATTAAATGGTTCAGCAATTACCATTAAATAAAACAAAAAAATTACAACACTTTGCAAAAAAGGGTAATTCATCAGCTTTGCTACTCACTTACCAGGGTCTTCAACAAAGATTTATTAAAATATCAAAACTGCCCAGCTACTGTATTATAATATGAAAACATACCCTACAAAATACTCTTATATCTGCATTAACAGCATATGACAGCAGATGCTCAGCCACTGGCCACAGCAAAATCTAAATGATAAATGAAACAAATGAAATGAAAGAGCAAGTGCTGTTAAAATATAACATGATTAAGACACTTGTAGCAAGTTCATTATGACTAATAGGGAATTCCTGTTCTATACTAAATTTGTAATGGAAATATGCCTAAAGATAGATGAAGTCTTAATAATCAATGCTGCTTACAGGTTGTCTTTCCAGCAAGCTGTGGAACATCATTTGGTTCAAGCGATTATCCCTGAATAGGAAAAAATTATACAGTCAAACTCATTTAAATATTCTTATTTCATAATCACTTCCTAAAATTTTCCATTTAGCACCAGACAATAACATTTATCAACATACATCATTAAAACAAAGCTGAGGTGACTTAAGTCAATGAGATGTAATATTTAATGGATTACCTTTTCTCAAAGAGACTTGAGAGCTCCTCTTTTATGACATTCACCACCTCTTCAAGATGTTTTTCTTCTTCCTATTATAAAAACAAGACCTTAAATTTCAGTTAAAACGAGTTTGATAACATTTTATGCTATAATTCATCAAAGTATTTTGCCACTAAAATCCCTTTTTTATACTGTAAAAAATTGCTATCACAATTATTCCTTCATCTGTTGTGAAGGAGCCAAAATTTACCTTAGCATGGTTTTTCACATCTGCTGTGTGGGACCTGGTTCTCATGGGAGAGGGCTTGTCAGAATGTTCCAACCCCAGCATCACCCGTAACTGTGAATTTGAAAAGAGCTTAAAATGATCACCACAAGATATGCAATATTAATCAATCTAATTAAAAAAAGTGCTTAGGTAAACATATTAGGTATATTTATTATTAAGATATTCTTTCAAAAGCAGACATGCTGAAAACTTTTCAGAATGGTCGGACATTTGGACCAGCAGTAATGAAAAATTTGTCAGACGGAATGGATTTTTGTCGGACCGAAAATAACCCTATTTGTTTGAGACAGATACTACCAGTGCGATTAAGGTAGCTTACTTTGTTTGTGAATGTGATAGGTTTGAAATGGAAGGGAAAAAACACTACGGGTTTTATATAATTTTGTTAGTGAAGTATGTCGAATGATGACTGTAAATTCAAAATTGCAGCTCTTAAAACTCTTGTCGGTCCTTTGGACCGACCAAATCCAAATTTTTACCAGTCCAGACAAATTTTCTCGGTCATGACCGATCGGACTGACAGTTTCAGCATGTCTGCAAAAGAAGCAATCATCTACAGTAGTTGAAATCCAGCTACTTACCACAAATATGCAGGCACTGGCAATATCTTTATGTGGAACATTTGGTGCTAAAAAAAACAACAACAACAATTGTTCTGGGATAACTACATGTAAGTTGATGTAAGTGTTCGCTACCAGTCAGGTGTGAAGCAAATGTAATCACTCATGTGACACTCATGAGACCACACCCCACACCCGCAACACACAGTAACCAGACTCAGAGAGGAGGGCCTGTAAAAATGGTTCTCTTGCTATGACTCTACAATAATTGACCAGTTACTCAACAATACAACTAACCAGCATACAGCAACTTTTAAAAACTAAAAGCTGCATTCAAATGGAGTTAGAATTATCCCGATACAGCAATAAGAATAAATTATTTTCTGTAATGTTGATGCCATTGAGAAAAAAATTCTTCAACAATCTGATGCCTGCATTTAGGTTATGTAAAGTCATAGAGAAAGGCTGGACTAAATCATGAACTTTAAAGTTTACTGACCTTTAGCAGAGTATTGAATAATATCCCTCACAAACCCTGGCAAAGACTCCTTTTGCAAATTATTGTCAGCAGCAGGCTGCAATAAAAAATCATCTTGCCACACACTATATTTCATAACATTTTCATAACTTTGGACTCTATAATGCCATATCGCAATGTCAAGCAGTTTTGATTTGCTCTATGTTAACTTAATCTTAATTATTTCCAATCATCTCAATACTTTAAATATATTAATAACTCTCACCTTTTTTATCTTAAAAATGACGTGTACCAGGTGGGTGGCCCTTTCTGCCAGACACCTGAGAGGTTTCAGCACTGAACCAGACTCGATCAGCCCAAACAAAGGGATAATCACCTCCTGTAAGAAAAAAAAATACTTAAGATTTTAAAAAAACCTGCCACTCACTCAGACCATGGTGTGTAAACATTTCTTCTTTGCAAGTCATGGTCTTAACATTTATGTGTAATGATTTTATTAAGTTTTATTAGCACTTACCAACAGCATTCCTGCAGGTGCATGGGCATGAACAAGAACTTCTACAAGATCAAGAACCCTAAGAAAAATATAAGAATACATAACTGTTTTGACAATATTTGACTCTAGGTCTGCATAAAAATAGACAAAATGCTATGACAATGAAGTTCTTCATCATTCAATTGATCTTTGTCTCTTTGCAATAAAAGATAAATCTAAGAGAATATCAGCAAAGGTAGCTTATGTATTATTCAGCTTAACGTTAAATTCCATGCACATGTAATACTGAAGTCTTATAAACAAAAGCCTCATAATACAGGATTCTGATAAATAACAATGCAAAAGTTTTGCTCTCATCTCGCAAATGTTAAATCTCAAAGACGTTCAAACATGTGAAGAAGAGACAGGCTACATTACCTCATCTTGAAATGTAATAACTGCTCCTGCTGCTCCTTTTGCATCTTTTTTCCTTTACCCTTGACACGACTTCTGAATGCTTCTGCCAGGGCTTCATCCAAGCGAAACATGGCACTGTCACTCAAACCTCCATCTGACTCCTAAACATAAGGAAAGTGAAAAAAATCATAACTAGTTGACATCAAAGATGGCACTTATACAGATATCATACACTGAATTTTAAAGGGAAAATGAAAAAAATTCATAAAAACTTAACCAATACACGCTGAGTTTTGAAAAGAGTTCCACAGGCCTAGATAAATCAAAAATATGGTTTGGCAGTTATATAATGACTGCTACAAGTTAGTTGTCTGATCAGACAGGTGGTAATTTCACAGGCTGTTTAAGAATACTTTTTCACTATCTACAGTGATCATGGGTTGATAAGTATCAGATGCAGAATGAAACAAATACAAGTACACTATATCTGAGCTATGTGTACAATTTATGCTGGAAATTATTTACAATTTGAAATATTTAAATCTGTGTTTTCAACTCATTTACTTAATCAGTGTTTATACTTGCCTCATCTGATTCTGCTGCAGCATCCCCTAATGCTGCCTTGACTGTGGCCTTAAAATTCTCATCCACATCTTCCTCCATTTCTTCCTCTTCTTCCTCCTCCTCCTCCTCCTCACTGCTGCTCTCCTCCTCGTCCTCCTCTACTTGCTCAAGGGTTTCAGATGCTTCAGTACCGCTTCCAAATTCTTCACTTTCTTCTGTAAAAACAGGAAAGATGTATAAACAGAAAAAAATGACAATATTATACAATACAATATAACATACAATAAAAAAAAGAATTTAAAAAAGTTCTTCGATATTTAAGTTTTTCAACTTTCCTTACCTGAATCTTTGAAATCCAGTGGGCCTTCTTCTTCCTCTTCTGGTTTGCCTGTGGACTTCAACACCTACGTATGAGACAAGTCCCATCAACTTCTGTCAATTTTAGAAAATTTTGAAAAAAATCACACAGTTTTTCTCTCACCAATACACACACACACACACACACACACACACACACATACACACAAAGACACTCACACACAAAATTGAACAAATTAAACGCCCTTCTAAAACCATTATCTAAATAGATAGAAACAAGTAATGCTGAAAAAAAGATCCTACATTCTCTCCACAACAGCATACACCCAAGGCACACGTCAATGTTAATTTCACCATGGCGGGGTTTCTTGACAAATGTTGTAGTCGAAAAACATAACTCATGTATGTTTCATCTATTGCTTTAACTCACATCTATGATAAGCTGTAAAGCGTCTGTAGTCATGTGTGGACACAACATTCTAAACACACTGGAGACCACCACCCGCACCAGATGAGATGGCTGTGATAACAAACTCAGCAAGATCTCTGTGATCACTTCTACCCACTCTGGTTCTGGAAAACAGTGAATAATATGCTACACATATTATGCCAGAATAATAGTGTTTTCTTCCATTCCATCTTTAAAAACTGGCAGCCTGATTTATTTAAATCACTATTTTACTCAAATAAATGGTAATCAAGTCTTAAAAGTGGATATAACAAGAAATATTTTGCAAAGAAAAATGAACAAGAAAACCAAATAGTTAATCATTTGTTCATTTCTCTTTAGGTTCTCCAGTTAGAAACTTTTTTCAGTTATTACAAAATCTACAGTATATTTTAAGATATATACCAACTTAAGCAGAGGGGCTTAAGGATGGAAATATGAATTTATTTACCTCCATCAGCAGCTTTTCCTTTCTTTCTTCTCTGGCAAGACTTTTCATAACAAATATGAAGATCCTGAAACATATGATAATGTACTGACATAGCACCTAAGTTAGATTTAAAAAAAAACATTTTAGCTAGCAACCTTTCAAAAATGGCCATGTGGAAGATTCTGAGGTATTCATGAGACCTCTGCCCAGTTAACTCGGATTTCACCTGTTTTTGTACATGTATAAATTTTACTTACCTTTAAAACATCACTAACAGCTTCTTCGTCCACCAATAACTGTAATCCTAGGTGTACAAACAGAAGTTCAAAGGCATGCTCCTCTCCCAGTTTGCTGCATTTCTGGGTTTTCTTGTGAATCTTTTCAACTTCTTCTGACATTTTTTGCCAGGAGAGTAAGACCTAAAATAGCAATGTTGCCACAGCAATGATTTAACTGAAATGAATGGTTTTTTGAATGAATAATGTAAATATTCACTACAGTTACCAAATTTGACTTTTTTTTATTAAATTGAATTCTTGACTTTGTCTATCTATTACAAATAAATTAGTCTTTCTATAAAAAAATGCCCAAGGCCCTGGTTACAATAATACAATTATATGTTATATACCTGTTCACTAAAAGGTTTCACAGGTACTACAGATGAAGAGTTCGCCAATACTTTCTGAAAGTAAAGCAACTTTATTTATACAAGCAGTCCTACATATATTCAATCTGATAACAGCAGTTTCCTAAATCAATCCCTTACATCATTTCAGTGTAACCAATCATTGCCATCATTTCACTGTAAACTTCATTTATCCTTTGAATAAGTGAAATGAAAATCTCCTGAGAGTGACTTGGACTTCTGTATAAAAATGTGTCATCTATTAAAAAGTATTTCAATCTTTAGATGTATTTGGTTGTGCACTGGGGAAATCATAATCAAAACAACCCTATATACCTTGGCATATAGCACAAGCTGGTATGATATTTCAATGTACTCCAAAGTTCTAGGTTCCTTTTGTGATGTTTTATCTGGAATTTTGAAACATCAGTTAATTTTATCCATTCTTTTTTATTTTACCAATACATATTCAAGGTAACATGAATATAACAATGTCTCACAGCATAAAAAATGCTAAATGCTTTCAATAATAACTACATGTCAAATGCAAACTTAAATTACACACACTTTGTGGTCTTTAAAACTTCAAAATACACATTATCACAAACGCTTAGCTTAGTATCATCCACTGAAAGACCTCTGTTTTTTTTCAACTTAAATAAATTTATCCAGTAAAAATGCAAATATCCAGTACAAAATATATTAAACCAAAACCATAGCAATATTTAAAAAGACATACTGCTCACCTGGATTGAAAGTGTTGAGGTTATTCAAAGCCTTAAAAAAGTTGTCCTGCATTGCTCTATGGGACTGTGCTGACAATACTTCTGAGCATGGCCCTGACTGGGCCTTGAATCGAAAAAAGTAAGCATTAGGTTTATGACAATTTAAAGCAAATAAAATTTCTTAATTTCCTAATTACAATTTACCAGAGCAGAAATGTAGAATTTGGGAATCTTCAGAGTGCAGGTATGTACTATTGCTTTATTTAAAGATGGCTATTACTTATTAAGGTTAAAATAACTGTCTATAACTTCACAATGTGCACAAGCTATCATACAAAAGGACCATACTGTTTCCATATAGAGAGGCAGTTTCATGGCTGAGTCTGTCAGAAGATTTTATGGTTCTTACATGTGGCAAACTTTTCTCCTTCCTTTGGACATCAAAGAAAGCATGCAGGAATAGAAACTGCAGTAAATTGAGCTGGACATCCAAGTTGCTGGCCGTGGCTAATGTAGTGACCAATGACCTCAACTGACTGGCAGCCCAACTGACAGTGGACTCTCTGTCCTTGCTCTGTATTAGACTGAAAAGAAATTTAAAACATATGCACACATTTAAAGATGGGATCAGATGCCTGTTCAATCGATTTAAATGCACTTTTAAGTGCTTTTAAGCACTTTTATAATTAAAATTATAACAAAATGGGAAGAGCTGAAGAGATCAAACCTGGCCATGACATCTATTTCTTTAATTTATTTCGGTTTTTATAAAATGACTTAATTTTTAATATGAAAAAAACAATTATATCTTAAGTTTAAAAGTCACAGAATATTTTCAAAAAATTATACATCATACTAACTTAACTATTTCTGTACGTAGATAAAAGCTCACCTTGTGGCATCTTTCTTTCCCTGCACCAAACCAATGAGTAACTCTCCATACTTCTTAGTTGCTTCTGCTGTCAGCTGCAAACAAGCAACAAGGCAGCAAAGCTGTCAAATGTACAGACAAAAAGCAGGAAATAACAAAAAAGGCTACTGTCAATTCTGATGCAAAAGTACATTTTGTTAAACTGCAAATTCAACATCAAATTTTAATTATGCTCAACAGGTAAAATACATCTGTGTCTGTACATAAAAACGGCATTTCTTTAAAATAATGGCCTGATTATGCTGATTTTTTAACTCAACCTGCGATTTAGCAGGAAAGACCACTCCTGTGAGTTTAATGACAATTGGCCTATCTGTTTTTCTTATATTGTGTTTACAGTGTTGCATATATGCTGAAAAGTGAAAAAAAAAAGCATAACTACTAAAATAGTGGCCCGATCATGCCGATTTTTGAACTTGACCTGCGTTTTAGTAAGATCAATTACTCTGCATTTTAGTCCTGTATTTCTTTTT